ATCTATCTATCTATCTATCTATCTATCTATCTATCTATCTATCTATCATCTAGTGAAGAGAAGGACCAGGGGAGACAGGATAGCAGTCTTCCAATATTTGAGGGGCTGCCACACAGAAGAGGGGGTCAAGCTGTTTTCCAAGGCATGTGAAGGCCAGATGAGGAATGATGGATGGAAACTGAACAAGCAGAGATTCAACCTAAGGATAAATTTTCTGGCAGTGAGAGCAATGAACCCATGGAACATAAGTTGCCTTCAGAAGTTGTGGGAGCGTCATCCGTGAAGGTTTTCAAGAAGAGGCTGGACTGCCCTTTGTCAGAAATGGTGTAGGGTCTCCTGCTTGGGTGGGGTGGGGGGTTGGACTAGATGACCCTCAAGGTCCCTTCCAACTCTGTTAAACTGTAATCTATCTATAAAATGTATATGGCCATTCAACTAATGGTGAATCTAGCAGGGGAACCCCAAATAGAACAAAACCCACTTGCCATGAACTCCACTTGCCCAGGTGACAACAATCAAACCACTTGATGGGCTCCATATCACCCTGAGATGCCCGGGGTCTGCTGGCAAAAACATCTTCAGGGTCTTTTGAAAGAAAGTCAAGATAGAGGTCAATCTTTACTCTGCAGGGATAACGTTTCATAGGGAGGGACCACCACGCTATTGCAAGACGTTTCATGACCCAACCAGGTAATCTCATCAGTGCTAAAAGGGAGTGGTGTTTACGGAGAGGAGGAGGAGGAGAAGGAGGAGGAGAAGGAGAAGAGAAGGAAAGGAGGAGGACTGTGGGGTCCTTGGTGGTTTTCTTGCAGGTGGTTTTCTTGGTGGTTTTCTTGCTTGGTGGTTTTCTTGCAGACGTTTCATTACCCAACTAGGGAACATCCTCAGTAATAGAAGAGAGTGGGGTTTGTGGAGAGGAGGAGGGGGAGGAGGGGGAGGAGGAGGAGGGTCCTTGACCTACTAACCTACTATCACCCAAATCGGATTTTCTCTCTGGTTTCTCAGTCCTTTGCTTTTCCATAACTTCTCATCTTGATTCGAAGTTTCCTTTCGCGGATTTGGTTCCATTTCAATTATACATCCTTCCACAAACCCCCAAGTGGTGAAGAGCATTTTGAAATATAAAATGGTTTTATGCTCAGCTGCAGTTTTGACTGGGCCATCTGCCACACTGCACGGAGGGATTTTTGCAGTGTTTAAAACACCGTCCTAAACTTTCTCAAAACTGCAAGCCGTATCTGTCCACACTCCCTTTCCAGCAGCTGAACATGTCAGCAGCTGCCAACTAGGGATATTAAAAGGAGGTGGGGTAACCCCCACAATTTCACTAGGCAGAAAACATTGGCATCAGTTCTTTTCAGCTCCTCACGGTGGGGAGATAGTTGTTATGGCGACACAAACAAAGACAGCCAAAGAAACCTTGAATAGCCAAAGTTGGGGGGGAAGAAATGCTAAAGCGTTAACTCTTGCACAATCTGGGCTTGGTCTACTTCGCAGGGCTGTTGTGAGGATAAAAAGCAAGAAGGGGAGGGGGTGATGGTAGCAGTCGAAAGAGTCCAAAATGTGTTAGCCAGCCAGCCAGAAAAATGGAATAAAACTGGACTGTCACAACAGCTAACCTTGGCTTATGTTAGAAAAGATTAAATCAGTTAAGACCTGGTGTATATTTGGGTGATAAGCTAGGAACTCACTTTGAAAAAGGTCTCCTTTCTTCCCTCTCCCTTCATCTTTCCTTTCCTTTCCTTTCCTTTCCTTTCCTTCCCTTCCTTCCCTCCCCTCCCCTCTCCTCTCCTCTCCTTTCCTTCCTTTTCCTCTCCTTTCCTTTCCCCTTTCCTTTTTCTTCCTTCCTTCCTTCCTTCTCCCTCCATCTTTCCTCCTTTCCTTTCCTTTCTCCTTTCCTTTACCTCCCCCCCTTTCTTCTCCCTCTATCTTTCCTCCTTTCCTTTCCCTTCCTTCTTCCCTTCTCCTTCCATCTTTCCTTTCCTTTCCTTCCATCTTCCCTTCCCTCCCTCCCTCCCTCCCTCCCTCCCTTCTCCCTCCCTCCATCTTTTTTCCTTCCCTTCCCTTCCCTTTCCTTTTCCCTTCCCTTCCCTTCTTTCTGAATGTGGTTTCTTATTATGATTAATACTTTCTTTAGCCTCACTGAAGTGAGTAAAGCCCCAGTGGGGTGTAATTTACGTTCTTGGCTAAATAATCAAGTTAGATATTTGCAGCTACACTATAGTATCAAATTAACAGCCTCTTTCAGTGTTTCTCAACCTTGGCAGCTTGCAGAGGTGTGGATTTCCACTTCCAGAATTCCCCTTGGCTGGCTGGGGAATTCTGGGAGTTGAAGTCCACACCTCTTCAAGATACCAAGGTTGAGAAATGCTGGCCTATTTCATGGATCGGTAGATCACCAATTCCAATCAGCTTCACAAATGTTGTGTAAAGTATTTTGGATAATGCTCCTCTCTCTATAACTCCTGTTGTCCTCTTACCTCTTCGAGAAGTGGCCCACAGAGGCCAAAGCCTCATTTGCAAACTTGTTTTTTAAAAAAAAAATACTTACAGAAATCGGAGCCATGCTGCAGTGATAGAGATCAAAGGGGACAGTCAGTTGGCAATCGGGGATAATGTTGGAAGCCATGCTGCAAGAAAGCATCAAAACCATTTAAAAGCACATCTGGCTCAGAAAACAACATATTAAGAGCCGTCAAATCTAAACCAATATCCTCCGGCCAAGAAAAAAATTCTGCATTTGACAACAATGCCTTAGGACGAAAAAACAAACAAATCACGTTTATCTTCTTTCATTCTATCCAAATGTTTTTCTTTTCCAGAGATTTTCTCTCTCTCTCCAATTCCTCACTAAAACCAACTCACTTAAAACAGCAGCTTTAAAGTAGATGTTAGACGCCTCACATTCATGGAAAGCACAGACAATTAAAAGGAATGATTTTAGCAACCAAAAACAACCCCAAAGCCCATAAGCCAAAAAGCTTGACTAGGAACAGAGATTAAGAGCTCTAATATGTGTCATGTGGTTAGTTGGATTTACGAAGATGGAGTAGCATGGAAATGTAACTGAAGGTGCTTATTCAAATGAATGCAAACAAGCAACAGATTTTCTAACACAGGACTGCTTTTGTGGCACTGTGGTAATGTGAGAGGAAGTGAGGGTTTGAAATGTCTTTTTTTTCCCTGTTAAAATCCAGCAAAAAAAAAAATTACGTTCCAGAGAACACAGGTTGTTAGATTAGCGGCCTGGTGAGAACAGCCCTTTGTGTGACTTTTCAACAAGAGTTGGAAAGCTTGTGAGTTGACCAAGCTTGAATCTGGATAAAGTTACAGCCCTTGAAGGAAGCTTTCTGAATTTAAAAGGTCATCTCTCTTGCTAGACCGACTTTCTGTACAATCAGGGGGGTGGGGGTGGTGGAAAAGTTGCCCTGCAGCTTGTTCCCTCTCAGAATATATTCAGACGAGTGGTGGGATTCATCCGGATCGCACCGGTTTGTCAGACCTGGCTGGTAACTTTCTGAGCAATTTGGTGAACTGGTTGTTGAAAGAAATCATTAGGGCAAAGGACCTTCGGTTAAATTTTTGAATCCCACCACTGATTCTCCCACTGAGGAGATTTTTCTCAAGTATTTTAGAGATCCTTCAAGGGGAAATATCTAAGGGTGGTAGGAGTTGACAAGGAACTGTGGTGCACCAGCGTTTGCAATCATGTTAGTGTCTTCTGAAGGATATTTTTGGAGGAAAGGTCACAAAAGCTCAAAATGTAGGATCCGTCAACCATTCAGAAGGATCATACAGGTAATCATCAATTTTTGACCACAATGGAGCCCAGAATTTCTGTTGCTAAGCGAGAGATATCTGTTAAGTGAGGTTTGTCCCATTTTACGACCCTTCTTGCCACCGTTGTTAAGTGAATCACTGCAATTGTTAAGTTAGTAATGTGGTTGTTAGATGAATCTGGCTTCTCCCATTGACTTTGCTGGTCAGAAGTTTACAAAAGGGGATCATGGGACCCCTGGACATTGCAATGGTCATAAATATGAGTCACTTGATAAGTGTCAGGATTCTGGCAGTTACCCCCAATTAAATCGTGAGTCTCGAGCCAAACTTCCAAAACTTCTAAAGGATATATTGGGAGTAAACATGTCCAGCACTGCCTGGGTGTAGCCAACTCTGAGACACATAATTCATTGTCACCCTTGACACTGGTTTTCCCCCACCCCCTTATCCATATTCTCCAATGGATCACATCCATAGCCCAGAGTCATCAATCATGCTCTCCAGTTAGATATATGCAGGGCAGAAACTTCAGTCACCTAGTTGCTATCTTTGAAAAACTATGTAAGGAATGCACTTTCGATTTCCAAGCTACCGCACTGCTCTTTCAAACCTCTTTCCCTCCTCCCTTTCTGTTGTTCTAAAAAGACCATAGAAATATTTTATGAGTTGACATTAAGTATATTTCATGACCATAGGGATGCTGCAATGGTCATTAGTGTGAAAACTGGTTGTAGGTCACTTTTCAACTTTTCATCTTTTCAATGACGTAATTTTGAATGGTCACTCAATGAACTTTTTTAAGTGGAGGGAAGTTTCAACTTCATGCTCAAGGAAGGTTCAACTAGGACAAAAAAGAAGGCTTTTAAAATTCTCTCTGGCCCGAAAGGATCCAAGGGCTGGACTGAATGAGAAGAATCAAATCCAGGACCTGAAGTTCCTTCACCCAGAACTTTCTTCCTACCGTTCAGTGGTTTGACGCAGGAGCGAGGCAAGTTACACACGAAGGAATCCTGGCATTTGTGATACAATCTGGAGAGGTCCATGGGATGATGAATGGAACATGGGGTGGAGAGAAGGTGTCACATGTGACCATGTGAGGATCATTGCAAATGCAGTTCAGAATGTTGGCAACAGCCAAAAATAATGACCAGTACATTGAACACACTGAGGGATGGCATTGGGTTCTAGTAGGCAACTTATATATCAGGATGGGATGAGATGGATGGGATTGTCCAACCATTGACTGGAAGTCAAGACAAGAAACAACAGATTTAAATGATGAGGAAGAAGATTGGGTTGGACACCAGGAAAAATACTTAACAGAGTCATTCAATGACAGAACTAATAGCCTTGAGATATTGTGAGAATTTAAACCAGGGGTCTTCAAACTTGACCACTTTAAGACTCGTGGACTTCAACTCCCAGAATTCCTCCTCCAGTCATGTTAGTTCAGGAATTCTGGGAATTGAAGTCCACAAGTCTTCAAACTTGTCAAGTTTGAAGACCCTCGATTTAAACAGAGGTAGAATAGTAATCTATTGGGAGTGTTCTAAGAATGGATTTCTGTAAAAGGTGTTGGGTTACATCAATATTTCTCAACGTCGCAGCAATGTTGAGCTCTGGGGACTTCAATCCCCAGAATTCTCCTGGGGATTGGCTGGAGAATTCTGGGGACTGAAGTCCACCGATCTCAATATCGAAGTTGAGAAACATCAGGGTAGGTGATCCTCAGAATAACTCCCAACATTTGCATTCTAGAATTCTGTGATAAATGTACTAATAGCAGTGGAGGCAAACCAACAAAAAAACAGGAAAGCATCAAAGCTTCTTCTGTGTTTCGCACCCCTCTGAGTCGAAGCTGGGAAAGCGAAGAATGTTTCAATTCAGTCTTGGCTGCTTATGTCCCATTAATCCTACTTCGGGGCAGAATTAGTGAGTTATGTTAGAAATGAGGATATTTAATCCCATCCAAGGGCTAACCGCTGAACTAATTATGGATAGAGTCAAGTCCCACTCTCCCCTCATCGTAAATGTATGGATTTCTTTGAAAAGCTCACACACAGTATTAATCACGAAATATCTGTAGCTTGATTTCCATAAATACGAGATATATTTTCCTAACAGTTTGGAGGTTTAATATTCCCAAGCCCAGAATGATTTTTTTAAAAGAATATTTGGGACATTCACAAATACTTTGCTGAGAGGAAGTTTTACCAACAACCTTAAGTTCTAGATAGTTAAAGCGATGCAAGGATGAAACCTGAGAAATAAGTAGCATTTATACTCACTCGTTGGAGTTTCCTATTGGTTCATATATGTACCAATTATCTTCATCAGCCAAGTTGCCACCGAGCTCCAGTTCATCCTTTAGTAGCTCTTGGGAAGACATCTCTCTCTCTCTTTTCTTTAATTTCTCAGGCAATCAAATCTAAAGAATATCTTTAAAAAGAAAAGAAAAGAAGATCTTTTTTGAGCTGGAGATCCAAATCCTTCACAAAATTTGTCCTGTAGTTGATACACTTTGGCGGTCAAATTTAAAAAAAAAACCTGGCCAGCTTCTTAGGTCTTTCATACAAGCGACTCTATTTCCTTCTGTCATTTAAGCTGCTTTCCATGCTTTTATTATTATTATTTTAAATCCCACAGAAGTTTATCCAAAGTGACTTCATCCTGTTTCAGCATTACAGGAGAACAAAGGAGGAACAGAGGTTGGAGGTTAACAAGAAAAGAAAAGGAGGGGAAAAAAACTTCAAACCACACAACACAAACCAAACTAAGAATCATCAGTTATGAAAAGCCCACGACAAGATTAAAGAAAGTAAAGAGTTGTTTAACTTGGTTTCTCTCCAAGACTCAGCCTAAAGGAAATGAAAAGCATTTGGAAAATCGTTTTTGCTCCTTACACCTATTTGAATGGATGCTCTCTCTCTCTCTCTCTTTTCCTTTTTGCAAAAAAATAAATAAAAAATCCAAGGGAAATATGACTTAGAAATAAAGCTTGATTTTCTCCAACCAATGGTTTGGTGTTTTGTTTCACACCCCTCTTTCTTGATACTTTCAAAAGCACCATTGTTTGATTTGAGAACCTGTGTAGCAAAATATTCAAAATTTATTGCTTTGGGCTTAAGAAAACCCCGGTACGCACCCAATATTTAGCTATAAAATTAATAGGCTGATCATCTGGCTACTCCTATTTGACAGGGGTTTCAGTCATAGAATACAGGAGAAGGTGGTAGAAAATTTCTTGAGCTCTTTGCAGAAGAGGCGAGGTGTTAATGTATGGAATACATAAAACTGGCTTTTCATATGCTAAACCACTTTGCCCCAAGCTTAGCTGGTTGAATAAATTGCAATTAAATGGCAATGCGGCACCAACTAAATATAAACCACATTATGACTTAATCTAATGAATGAAACCAGTCAAAATCCCAGCTTGAAAATCATACAGACAGAATTGATTCCAATGCAGAAGGATATTCCTGGTTAATAGTAAGACTATGGAATCCTTGGTGTGCTCACAGCTCGGTTGTTTCCTTGCAGACATTTCACCACCCAACTAGCTAAGATCATCCGTGCTAGAAGGGGGTGGAGTTTGCTCTCTGTTTATATACAGTGGCTTTCCCTAGTAGCTGATTAAAACACCTCTGGAATCTTGCGTCGTAAAACCTTGGTGATTTCCAGGTATGTGGACCTCAGCTCCCCAAATTCCACAGCCAGCATAGCCATTGCTGAGAATTCTGCTAGTTGAAGTCCACCACCGTTTGAAAGCATTGCCCTACTTGGTTGTAACTGTGGTTTGTCGGACAAGCCATCAATGGGCTGGTTTACCCCAGTGTCTGTTTGAGCCCAAAGGAAAGAAGCTGGATGATGTAGGGGTAAGCTTCTGGGGGGTTCTCAGGGGTTCGGGAGAGTCCCTAGCTAAGATTCTGTGCAGTTTGGAGAACCCTCCCAACAATCCCACTCCTGGCTGGCCCTCCCTACCCCACCCTGCCCCGGCCAGGATGGTCCGTTTTGGATGCAGGTAAGTGCAGGGTGCGCATGGAGCACAGGTGGTATTCAGCCGGTTCTGACCGGTTCTGGAGAACTGGTAGTGAAAATTTTGAGTAGCCCGGAGAACCGGCAAATCCCACCTTTCTATTCCCCCATCTATTCTCTGCCTCCCAGCTGATCGGCTGGGTCTTCTTTGGTTACTCTGCACAGGAGAACAGAGCTGGAAAGTAGGTTGTTTTTTTTGGTTGCCCTGCACAGGAGAACGGAGCTGGAAAGCAGGTTAGTGGGGTGGAGAAGGAATGGGGATTTTGCAGTAACCTTCTCCCCAGGAGTGGGGAGGGAGTGGAGATTTTGCTGTATCCTTCCTCTGCCACACCCACCAAGCCACGCCCACCAAGCCATGCCACACCCACCAAGTCACACCCACAGAACCGGTAGTAAACATTTTTGAATCCCACCACGGGCACGGAGGCTCGGGGAAGGTTGAAAAACGGGCTTCGTGGAAGTTCGGGAAGGCCTGAAATGGGCCCCGTTTCTGGCTTCCCGGAGAGCCTTCGGAACCCGGGGAGGGCGAAAAAACCTCACCACCACCACCGTGGTGCAGGAGGCCAACTAGGCCACGCCCACCATGGCCACACCCACCCAGCAACCAGGCAGAGAACCTTTTTGAAGTCCACCCCTGAGATGATGGCCTAGAGGTGCTGTCTCCCAATTTATTCCGCCAGTCCTAGGAGCCACGGGGGGAGCCCGATGGAAATGCCAAGGGTGGGCGAGGAGCCCAAGATTTAAGACACAATGCACAACTGGTGCTCTGTGGCAGCCTGGCATTTCAGCTCCACTTTCCTCTCACCCCAAACCTGATCTCTTTGCTCCTCTGTCTGACCTCCGCTGGGGAAAGGCAACGCTTGATGGGGAGACAGCAGAGGGAGAGATTGATGACCGCAATAAATATTATTCATTTCTCCCTCTTTATCACTCCCTGGGAAATGGTTGGTTTTTTGTTTTTTTTGCCTCTCGCCCAAATAAATAGAGCAAGAGAGGTCGAGGGGATGGGAGAATGGAGCGCACAGCTTTTAATCAAAATGATAAGAGATCAGTTTCCGGAAGAGCTGTGGAATTTGTTGAGTGGGAAGTGATTCCATTCAGTTGAGCTCTGCTTGGAGTGGCAAGAAGGATTAAGGGGGGACATGATAGCAGTCTTCCAATATCTGAGGGGCTGCCCCAAAGAAGGGGGGGGTCAATCTATTCTCCAAAGCACCTGAAGGCAGGACAAGAAGCAACGGATGGAAACTAACCAAGGAGAGAAGCAACTAGAACTAAGGAGAAATTTCCTGACAGTGAAAACAATTAATCAGTCGCAGGGCTCTCCAAACTTGACAGCTTTAAGACTTATGGACTTCAACTCCCAGAATTCCTCATCCAGTCATGTTAGCTCAGGAATTCTGGGAGTTGGGAAGTCCACCAGTCTTAAACTTGCCAAGTTTGAAGACCCTTGTGATAGATGATAGATAGATAGATAGATAGATAGATAGATAGATAGATAGATAGATAGATAGATAATAGATAATAGATAGATAGATAGATAGATAGATAGATAGATAGATAGATAGATAGATAGATAGATGATAGATAGATAGACAGATAGACAGATAGACAGATAGATAGATAGATAGATAGATAGATAGATAGATAGATAGATAGATAGATAAATAGATAGGTAAATAGGTAGGTACGGGGAGAGAGAGAGAGAGAGAGAGAGAGAGAGAGAGAATGATAGGTGATAGGTGATAGGTGATAGATCAGGGGTCTTCAAACTTGAGAGCCTTAAGGCTTGTGGACTTCAACTCCCAGAATTCCTCCTCCAGTTGTGTTAGCTCAGGAATTCTGGGAGTTGAAGTCCACAAGTCTTAAACTTGCCAAGTTTGAAGACCCTTGAACCAGTGGAACAGCTTGCCACCAGAAATTGTGGTTGCTCCAACACTGCAGGTGTTTAAGAAGAAATCGGAAAGCCACTTGTCTGGAATGGCCTAGGATCTCCTGCTTGAGAAGGAGTCCCTTCCAACTCTCTTATTCTGTTAAATGGGAGAGATATTTTCTTCTTCAGGCAGCCCAGCCCTACTGTTTTCAAAGCAACTTTGCACCGGGAGGGTTTCTGGTGGCTCTTCAAACTGCCTTTGCTTCATCCCTGCGGGGGTTACTACCGGCCAGAGCTGTTTGTACAGGTGTCAACTCACAGTGAGGGAGTTGCAAATGTGTGAGGGATTGCAGCAGGCAATCTTCGCCAATTCTACCAACATCAGAGTTCAAACGAAGCAGGCCGATTGTTATCTTCTGCTTCCAAGCCTTTTATTGTTCTACATTCCTTCCCCACCTGGCTAATTCGGGGACAACTCTCAACAAACTGAATGTTTAAGAGGCAAACTAAAGAAGAAGAAGAAGTTAAAAGTGCAGGCCTGGATAAAAGGTCAAAATAAACCCACAATCTGGGTTGGGTAGTCATGCAAAAGTTGTAAGGTCGATGCTTGATTATAGCAATAGCCCTTAGACTTCTATACCGCTTCACAGTGCTTTTACAGCCCCTCTCTAAGTGGTTTACAGAGTCAGCCTCTTGCCCCCAACCATCTGGGTCCTCATTTCACCGACCTCGGAAGGATGGAAGGCTGAGTCAACCTTGAGCCGGTCAGGATCGAACTGCTGGTGGTGGGCAGAGGTAGTCTGCAATAATGCATTCTAACCATTGTGTGAAGGAAGGAAGGAAGGAAGGAAGGAAGGAAGGAAGGAAGGAAGGAA